TTTCGCTCGATCTTTTCACGGCGGGTGACATGAATCTCAGTTCCTCGAACGAGTAATTCTGATAGGCTTTCATGATGGTGATGGCGTAGAAGCACATTTTGTTGTTGATGGTCACCTCGTATGGAACGTCTAAGGATGGTTGTGGATGACCACCAAATGTCATGGGGTCTGGTTGAGAGACGCGACGGATCTTTCTGCTCTGATCGGAATCCGTGATGTCCGTTTTATCGGTCGGCACCGCTTTGACTTCAATCTGCAAAATGATTTGCGTCTCGACATATCGTAACTCACGAACGCCGTGCTTCGCATCGCGATATCCGAGAAGAAGAAATACCTTCAATCCGGGCACGTGCACCACTTCGCCGTATTGATCCCTCGTATGCACAGTGACGATGGCCGGCCATCCGCATCTCATTTCTTCTCGTGAATATAGCACCTCGCATCGAGAGGGATCCACAAAGCTGTCTGGTTGCAACCATCGTGCGAGTCTGCCACCGCTGGTGCCAGTAGAACAGGAGACAAAATCGCGCAGGAATAGACGTTCGTTCGAATGACAACTGAAAATAGCACGCATGCGGGATTTGAGAAAAATTGGAAAATCACGTCCTCCATGTATTGAGAATTTATTTGTTATATCGTTAAATCTATTTACGCGACCACAACTGAATTTAAACTTTGACTGATTCTTTCTATTCGTATTGCAGTTCGGAATTTATTACATGTGCAAGAGAAGATTTATGAGCTTTAGTCGCGCTACGAAAGCTCAATAAAAATTTGATAAAAATACAAAGTCTTTCATTCTGAACATAAAGTGTAAAATTGTATGTCTATTATTATGAAATATTCTAGTTAAACAGTATAATATAAAATTAACACGAGAGTGGTGAACAGAGAATTTTTGCTAAAACTTTTAGTCCTTAACCTTAGAGTGAAAAAAAAAATGACTCGTAACGTTAGGAATACAAGACCGTCGTATTGAGATATATCGGAGTATATAAAACGTCACGAAAGAACTCGCGAGGGCTCGTCTTTATTACAAAATTTTGGTCTGAGTCCATCATGAATGCAAAGGTTGGGAACGAGTATGGTTCGTTAAAACGAGTTTGAGAATCGCGATGCCCCTAATTGGTTGGTGCCTCGTATCGTGATCCCGTTCGGATGGATCGCAAAATAGAGGACGATGCTCCTCCGTCAGCCAGACAATCGTCGCTTCCCCATCGTTCGGACTCGTCAAGCTCATCCCTAATAAGGTGCAATCACACCGCGGTTCTCTTCTCTACGGTCCCGTCAACGTGATTCGCGTTTCGCTATACCTATCTACAGCGAAGTCAACTCCGCGTTTTTACCGTCGTGAGAACCGGTATTCTGGAAAATCACGCGCGTGAGAGGTCTCGTGAGAGTTCGATCATTACGGTATCTCCGCGTGAAAAATAAGGATGTAATTAAACGCGATGAAAATCACGATATTTTCTGCGACGACTCTTTCACCGCCGATAAATCTACGATGCGTCAAATGCAATAAGCATTAATTGAACTCCAGCATGACAAACATTCGTGTGTGTAACTTCATCAGATCTTTTTTTTTTTATAAAAAAAAGATCTGAATGTTCGACGAGTTTATTATACGATTATAAACGATTCCTCAAGTTAAAGAACTTTACGGAGTTTTCAAATACAAACTATCGAAATAAAATATGTAATAGAGAAAAGTGAGATTCATCTTTATATTGCCCTTCTTAAAGTATATATTCAGGGTTGCAAAATTCTCTATATAATTTCGTAACTTGTCCTTGATTTTCAGACAAAATTTCATATTTTTCCTGATGCTTTCAATAATATCTTGAAATTTTTTGTATTTCAATCTTGATTTAGAAATCGTCAAATATTTCGTCGAAAGGAGTAATTTAACATAGCGATGTAAATTATTATTAATGTTGCTGACGCTGCTTGCATTTAATTATTAAGTTGGTAATATTCCAAAACTGTTTTGGTATGAAATTTAATTTTCCAGAAAATTTTGTAAAATTCCCTGACCTTTTCCCGATTTTCCCGACCGTTTTCATTTTTCTGACATTTCTCTAATTACCCTGATTTTCAGTTTTGTAGCAACTCTGATATTGGAAGTTGTTTTATTTCATTTGTATAATCAATTTTGGGATCGTTCCAACGTATCTCACTCCAAGTTCCCTTAGGCCAGAAGGCGTTAAACTGCGATAATACCTCGAGTCATGACGACGAGGTACCTCGGGACTTCGTGGTTTGCGGTATCAAACCATGTAACGAATGTAATTTTCGCTCAGTCAGATATAAACGCTGCGGAAGCGGGGTGCATTCGCCATCGATCATAGTCACGAAAAAGATGAACGAGCGGCACGCCAAAGATAATAGACGCCAGAGGAGGACGAGCCGGCATAATACACGAGAGATCGCAGCCGAGACCGGGAGGATCGAGAGCGTGCGGCTTTAAAGATCGGTATCCACGTGACATACAGCCAGTACGTGACCATTTCGGAAATGGGCACTTCGCGGACGACGTCGCCGCCGCCACCGTCGCGTTCTTCCCAGTTTGAGGAACGCGTTATGAATGAATGGACGACGTCGGACGTGTACACGGCAGAGTAGGTGCGCGGAGCCGAGGGAACTCGCGCAATTTCTCATGGGAAATTAAATGGTCGGGTTTCCGCTCATAAAGCGAAGAGCTACGAGACGGTAGTAGGGCGTTTTAGAGAAACGTTATCTACTGGCACATAAAGAGTGACGTGGTACGACGAGAGCGATGGTCGGCTGTCCTCCAAACCAGGCTGTTTCCGTTTTTACGGTATCATACTCTCTCCACATCGCGTATTTCCGGCACCGACGACGATACGTCGGAGACGATGGCTCACGCTCGCTTTTTATTGCACGGGGCGTATCTTCCCTTGCTTTCTATAAGAAACGAGTAATCGTAGAGATTACCGGCGCTTGTTGAATCACAGAAAAATCGCGAACCCCCGCACAAAAATCCTTGCGGTATTCGTATCTCGTGTGAATAACTGTTTTCCCTCGATTTCACTTGCGGAGCTTGTACGTAAGGATAGAGTTTCGAAATTTTCAAGAAACTTCACGAAAGTTCACGTATCAGATTCGAAAGTTCTCTTAGTGAACTTTGAAATCCCTTAGATAGTAAGTTTGATAACATTCCTGAGGTGGAAATTCCATTTCTATCTAATGCTATACAATGGCATGTGTCATAGATACTGAAAGGATGTGTACATTGAAAGGAAACGGAAGATTTAATTTATTTGAACAAAATTGTTAAAATTATTTAAACAATTTTTTCAAATAAATTAAAACAATAAAAAATTGAAAGAATAGTAACTGCTCTTAAAGTCACTTATAAGCCAAATGGAAAGACATGGGTGAAATATTTTTCGTAATTCTACTTTTGGAAAAAATCGGAGTATGACACTTATGATGAAGTAAGTAATGGTCGTAGAATTCCATGAAGATCGCCGAATACGTAGAGTACGGAGAATGAGAAAAGCGATTTATCTATTTATTTGTTATCTACGCTCAATCTATTATTAGGCTTATAAAAAAAGCGTTCAAAATATTCGACTGATAAACACGTTCTGATAAAACACTTAAGTTCGAACATTCTTTTTCGACATACATTTATAGGAAACTTTTTGTTCAGAATTAAATTTCCTATAAAATCTCAAAGTTTGGCTGTGGAACATTCAGGGTCATTGTAACAATGGACTTTGACATGTCTGCTTGAAATTTTTTGTTTGATTAGGATTTAAAGTGTTTATATTTGTCGGATTTTCTAAAAGGAACTCGCTTACACTTCTTTGTTTGATAATTGATTATATATTTCTTCGTAATAACCGTTGAATGTGTTCATCATGTGATTGGGCCACATAAAATTTGATTCTCGCAGTCTCGATCTTTGAAAAATTCGAAAAGAAAAAGAATGATCGACTCGCTAACATTATATTTCGGACAATTCAAACTCACAAGAATATCCTTGCATACTCTTTAAAACTTTTAGAGTGAATTGTCATTCTGAAGAGTGAAATCTCTTAAAGATTGAAAATTGAGCCATTCTCTTCCAAGACGGATTCAATTTTCACTCTTAAAGTGAGATTCCACTCCTCCAAAGAATTTAGAGAGCATTGTAATCCTTCTGAGTAAATCAATTCAGCATAAATCAAAGAAAAGAAATATTTCATCGCTTTTCTTTTAAATTTAACTTAAAAGTAATTCTATTTTTTTATCAATAAATGGTTAATTTGGATTGATAATATTAATAATTCTTAAATTAATGAAACTCTAATTAATAAAACTCTTAACGTTTTCAGCCTTAAATTTACTATTTAGTCTTTAAATAGCTAATATCTAAAAGATTTCGAATATAGTTTCAAGTATAATAGCAAACTTCAATAAATATTTTCATTTTAAGGCTCTTAATTGCCCGTTTTTTTTGTTTAATATTGTTTTAATACCTCAAGAGTCCAAATCTGATTATTTGTTTGTGAAATATTTTCATATTTGACAATCAGATTTAGATAGAATAATCACATTCGATCTATTATGAAAACGATGGGACTCCATTGACCAAGGTTACAAGCCCTGAACATTTACGCAATTAGCATCCGTGATAAACGTGGGTCATTGACGTAGTCCGAGGATCGGAAGTTGGTCAAGGTCGTCTTTGCAGGTGCGCGTCGATGGTGTCGGTCAACGCGTCCGAAAACTGTGCTCTCGCAAAATCCGATGTTGGCTTTTCTGGTGAACGTAACGGATCCGACCCCGAAGAAGGCACCGTCCTGTCTTCTCAAGCCTGATGACGAGCCGTGCCCTGGCGTTTATCTTTCCGAAGGCCGAAGAGGGAGAACGCGAGGCGAGAGATGGAGAGAGCGAGTGGCAAAGCGAGTTGAGCTTCATGGATCTATGGTGGGGAGTAGACACCGATCGTGTATGCCACCGACCACAACAGTTTAAAAGCAACCTCCGTGATGATCGCGTCAGCTGAATTCTAAGTTGTCCTACCACTTCCTCTTTTCCCTCGTTTTCTTCGACAACGAACCGACCGCGCGTGTATCGAGACAGGCCGCTCGAGACAATTGCCAGTTCCTTCCAAGCAGCGCGGAATGTTGATCGTTAAAGATCGATAAAGGGAAGAGATGAACCTCCCTCTCCGTCCGGACGCGAAATCGATCAGTGGAGGAAGTCGCAAGCGGATAAAGAATACAAGTGGGTGATACTTGCAAGCATTAGTGTCTTCGGATCAATGAATCGATAAGTTCATTTAAATCGCTTCGCGCGAGTGTGTCATTCTGTAACGCGAGTGGTCGAATCGTTATGAAAGAAGCGAGGAATCGACGCTGATCAGCTGGTGATGATCTAACCGCTCGATCAGGGATCGTCGCAATGAGTGCCAAGCGAAGAGTGTTCAGCGCCTTGGATGGGCTTATTAAATGTGATCGTGCGATCGTATGCTCGGTGTTCCTATGGTATCTCACGTTCCTAATGTGCATCGTCGAGGCCAGCAATCCGGGGATATGCGTCATGAATGGCTGTAACTGCACCGTCAAGGCGCATCGCTGGGTTACCATCAAATGCGTCTTCTCCAAGGAACAGGCAAGAACACGTTCTAACTTAATGTTCTAACTTGTTGCCGCTATCAGGGCGGTAATTTTGCGTTGGTAAACTCTAAAAATATCGAAGCGACGGGAAGGCATCGTTCAAACCGAGATTATAGTACCATTCTCTTTTTTTATCACATTTCTTTGAAGAAAAACAATTTATGAGCTTAACGAACAACGTATAACTCCTGTAGAGTATAAATCCTATCTCATTTATGTATGTCACAGACATTCCTATCTAAAAGATAAAAAAACTTCTTAAGATTAAAGTTCATAAACATGATACAGTCAGACAACTCCAGAGAATAAAAATATCGATTTTTCGTTTTATTCTTATCGAGTTAGAAAAATAATGTTTTTTGGTACTTTCGTGAGACATCGATTGATCGTCATCGAAGTAAAGTAAGCGGCAAATGTGTATCTTTAAAGTTATCAAAACGGGATTGCTTTTCGCGCTCTGTAAGCATAATGATGTGATTATTTACACGATATTTGCGGTTTGCGCGAAGTTGTTTATTTTGGCATGTCGTGTTCGCTGCTCTGAAAGAGGAATTGTTAATGCACGACAGTGAAAGTTTGCCGCAGTCTTGGGAGACTTGGATTCGCCCTCCACGCGGGATTAGCATATAAATCATTGGCCCGTGAAGACGGTGGGAATCGCATGCACGCACGCACACATTCGATACGTGCGAGTGCACGCAAGTGCGTGCATTCGCAGGCATACCGCTGAAATAAGTCCATAAGCGGTCTAACGTTCGAAATAACTGCAAACTGATATTTAAGCCTTTTTACATACAAAATCTGCAGCTGCTAAATAAAATCTCACTTGCTCGTAATAAGAGGGGAAAAAAAACATATACGCACATTGACACGTCTAATATTATTTCTGGAGCTACGAGAGCTCACGTCTTTCTTTATAGGTATTTCCATTATCAAATCTATTACCCTCTTGCGTTCCAGTATTAATGGTAGTGCCGTGTTTATAATAGAAATGAAACAATTTTGGAGAGATACAATAGAGCGAAAGAACGTAGGACGCGTCTCTTCGGGTCTTAAATCCGTCCCTGCGAAACAGGCTGTAACTTGTACTTGCCACGTTTCTGCAGGCGCAACGTACAGCAGCCGTAGCTCCACTTGCCGTTGTCAGCTGCACTCAGCTGGATACCATCCGTACAACCCATGCAACGGCGTATTACGCTACGCGGTTCGTAATTCACGCGAAGTTTTCGACAAGAGAGACTTGAGTAGAAAACGTGATAAAACTATCGTACCCAACCGTCAGTAGCGATAACTTGCTCGAGTGCAGCATCGTAAGGGGAGAAATGTAGAGTAGCATCTCGTTGATTTGAGACAGATTTGAATTGATACGTGCGAAACTGAATATCGCAAGAATTTCAATGATATATGTTAAGCATTATGGCGCGTAATTCGATTTAGTTTCGAGTATAAATCTTACGATGCGTTATAACGTAAATTTTTAAACAAGATGGTACATCATATGAGTTTCTGACGTAGAAAATTGCTTTTATCACAAAAGATTAATGATAACACTGTTCGCAGAAACACGTTCGATATATAATATTAAAAATTGCAAGCTTTTCTCTTTTATTTTAAAGAAAGATATATAAAAATATTCGATTCTCGTTTTGAAAATATAATAAGTTGAAATAGATAAACTGATAAAAAAAAATAATAAAAATAAAAATAATTATATTTTGACTTGTGTAATAAGAATTACATGTACTGATTTAGTACTGCATGTAACGTGAGAGTACGTAATAAATAGAGCTGATAATCCAGAATTTTTCCTCGAAAGGGAAGATTAAATTTCTTGTACGCTTCTTGACCGCAAACTGGAGTGAGCCTATTCCCTATCTACGCTACGATCAACCGCTCACATAGAAACGGAAACCAGTTTTAAGGGGCATTCACAGCACTGCCTTCTCTCTTGCAATAATCCGATGCACTGTCTAAAGATCTTATTAAATCGTTTCGTTTCATTGCTTTGTCGCCATTCACTATTACGATCTTCGGATTGCTCCGTTTTAAACACGCTCCGAATAATCGGCGATGAAACAGATGTAATATATATTTTTCTCATGGAACTTCTTCATTAAATAATAAATTAAACGTAACTGAGAGCTACAAGCAAATTAATATATATATATATTTAAAATATTTATTAAATATTATATAAAGATATTACAATGAAATATCTGATTACCGTAAACCGTTTATAGTCAAATCGGCATTTATATTGTAAAAAATCTAACAATGCATAAATATATTCGATCGCATGCAAAAATCTAATATCTTAAAATGAATATTTTTTATTTATTGTTCTTTATTAATTAATATTGTAATTTAGATACTTAGATGTCAGTCGTGCCAATTTGCTATAAAATGTAACCGATACGATTCTTTCGTGAGTTTTAATATAATTTTTAAATCATTGAGAGTGATTTTTATCTGTCCGATAAACGTCTGCCATATTAAGCGTAGGCGTGACGCACAGAGTAACATGCACTCGGTAGCCTCAACAATTGACACACAGCAAAGTGACTGGTGTCGATGAATCAAGTCGATAATATATCTCGATCCCATCCCTAAGAATAAAATAATAAACGCGATGCCCGAGAGCCATTGGTTTTTTTAGAGGGACTTCTAAAAACACATTTAGCTTTCTCAAGGATGATATAATCGGGTAGCGAGAGCATTGACCAAACGAGTCGTGACAAGTCGTTTTGCTTGCTCAACGGTGTCTACAGAAACAACAATTGGCAGTGTTAGGTCACTATTATACTACCGGACGGCAAATACTTGGTAATCAAATCAGATTCAGCCACGGCGTCACTTATCATTCCAAAGCCATTAATTCCATTTACCAGCATCGCCGCGTGGTAACAGGCTGGCAGCTCCTTGCCGGCTCGTGCAAGTTCACTCGAAACAAGGACACTTTAATTCGATCGGCGGAAATGGCAAATCAAGCGGTGATCGAATACTGAAATCGTGGTGATTTCAGAAGAGTGCAGAAATATGTAATTTCTCGCGTATCTCCCTCGCGAGGGAAATAATGCAACGTTTCCTCTCGCGGTCATTTATCCCGTCAATAAAAAGTGATTGAGTTAAGCAAGGATGAGTTCATACACGGTCCTATTCGCCGCTATCTTAGGCCACTATCACATTTACTAAAAAAAACACGACGTTATATTCATTATGTGTATATAGATAATTGATGTGTCATATAGATATTTATCTTTACTTATCTGACGTTCGTTTATTTCTCCGACTTTTATCGTAGCTTAAAACAGGCCAAACTGTACAAATAAATTCATCTGTCATGTTTCAAAAAATCTAAAAACTCAATTGAAATATTAAAGCAATGTATTTAGCAATGTATCGGCATGTTATATCGTGTCGTTTTAAATTCGATTACAATTTACAGAAGCAATTCCTCGTAATGACCCTCGCGCGACTTAGATACGTGGAAAGATTTCCGACAATATAATCAACTTGCTTGGCACTTTGCACGAGTAGATCGACCCGATAGGTCTCTCGCATTCGTCCTCACGCATTTGAACCTAGGCGATTTCCGGCGCATGCAATTTCCGGTCGGAGGGTCCATTACGGCCAAAGTAGAGGTACGATGCATTGTCCGAGCCAGCTGCTTCACGAATATTTTTTGCTCCGTCCGTTCGAAAACTTGGAATCTATTTCACCATCGTCGCTTAAGTTTAAGTAATGTAATTACCTTTTCTCTCACTTCGTTCCAATTTCAATTATAGAATCGAATATTTTAAAGAAAACTTTCTTTTGTTATACCTTTCATTCTTAGTTAAAAAAAAAGTATCAGTTGACGCAGTTAAGTAACGGTAATAAAGGAATATAGTATTTCTCATATTTAATGAAAGACCCACGAATTGGATCAGAGAACGATCGATTGTGAATTCTGTGCTGATAATGCCGCTGATTTCAAAGACTTTATCTTCAGGTGCATCGTGCTATGCAAACGCCAAGATTTAATTCGAACGGTCCACGGCACCGTTATCCGGTGGTCGTCGACCCGAAATTACACGTGGAAACAACAATTAACGTTGGCGCACCACGTGCTGGCCACTGTGCCGAAACAATTTCAGCGTGGCAGCAGTTTAGACGTGCGATTTAACGCTCACGGACCCGTTAATAAGCGGCGGCTTTTCCCGACTAACTCGATTACAAGCCGATCGCGCGATTATGGTTGGGGAGGCGGCTGAATCTGTTAATGTAAATCGGTGAAAACAATGTGCCGCCGATTAAACCGCGGTTGCACGCATCTACGCTGCTAGCCCTTTCTGCAACGGTCTAGCAACGCCGCTCCTCTTTCTCTCTTTCTCTCTTATTCCCCTGCGAACTCTCTCCGTTTCTACCTCCCTCTTTTTCTCTCGCCACCATAATCATCTCGAGTGGAGCAAATAAACCTAACAATCGGAACTGGAAAATAACACGTCGCGTGAAATCGTACGAGAACGATAGCGGCACTTAGGACGGAAACGATGCCACCAGATACGCGCGCATGTATACGTCCGCACGCACGTTCGACGACCCCGCTATAGAAATACAACTTGTGATATGCGCAATTATTTGTTAAATTTATGTTTTGTAATTATCCATTCTGTATTCTGAGTTCGATCTATTTTCATATCGCTTTTGTTCCGCTTTTGCGCTTTTATAACTGTAACTCTTTACTCTCTCTTTCTGGTAGGCGTTAGAGCAGCATTTTGCTGGTGCCTCACCTCATTTTGTGCATCCGTACACTTAACTTTTCTCTAACTCTGTAGTCGCCGGTTTTATTTTATAATTGATGCACAAATAAATTAAATAAAAAAAAAATTATTGTTGAAGAATCCAGGGAAATAAAGTTGGGTCTCTAAAAATAAGGGTGTGAGGGGTAATGTATCGAATTTTTTATAACATCGACGACAATGCGTAACAATGTCCGCCTCGTTCTCGAGGACA